CCACCCCTCTTCATTCTTTAGGTTTCTCTCCTTATCTGTGCTACAAGTCTCTTCAAATCCAGGGAACTTTGCCTCAACGCCCATCATCCTCACCATTATCTTTACACCAATCTCAACATCTTCTCTTCTCTCTCTCTCTCTCTCTCTCTCTCACTTACCCTTCGCATTTTCCATCTGCCAATGGCTGATCCTGCGAGGTTAGTATACTCTCTCTCTCTCTCTCTGAATCCCATACTCTGTTTCCTCTCTGTTTTTTTTTTCCTTCATTTTTCATTTATTCACTCTTTAGATCTTTATATCTATACTTGCATCTTCAAGCTTCTTTGCTGTATGTAATATAAGTTCATAATAATAGTGAGTTTGCTGGTTTTCTGCAGTTCAAAGCCCTGGCATTCCATCTTTGTATTCTTGATTACAACGATAGCCATGGTTGTTCAAATGCACTTCCCCAACTCGTCCCCTGCAGATAAATACTCAGCAAACGTGTGGATTTTCATAGTATGCTTGTTCGTCTATGCATTTTCATCCGCCTACCACAAGTCTCATGCCTCCACCTCAAATAGTGATACCCCATATTTCAATCTCTCCTCTCACATAGCTGTAATCTCAGGAAGCATGGCTTGTGCTGTACTCATATCAGTGCTGGGTTCTAAGCCTGTTATAGCGCTCATCATCATTATCTACTTCATTTGCCTCCTTGTATATTTTTCCCCCAACCCAGTGACGGAAATATGCAAGAAGATGGCTGCATATGTGCACCGCAAGTGCAAAGGAGCTGATCATGACGATGACCCAGCAGACAACATGGAACTTGGAAGGAAATAATAAAAAACAAAGGTTGGGCAATCATCAGACAGGTGTAGAGTATTCCGAAACTGCGCGTGTTATAATGCTGTTGTACTGTTGACTGTTGTTCTTTCCCTTAGAAATACGTTTCTTCAATATATTATATGGAAGGCTTTCTCAATTATATTTGGGGAATTTAATTTAATCATGATTACATATATCTGACTACTCAGTCACTTAGTTCTTTTAACAAAATGAAAGGCATCTGTTGTATACTTGTGTTGTTTTCATCGGGCCAGGGCACAGGACTTTTTAATAGTTTAAACCTGAAGTATACACTATATAGCTTCTTTTAGAAAATAGGAATGAACTGGCCATCAACATATAAAGGAAATCGACATGAACGAATATCATATTTAAAGCCAAAATATTCATGTTATGGAATTGAAAATTGAAAATGCAAGCTAATCATTAGAACCAAAAATATGTTATTCTTTTTGGGTGTGACCTTCTAGCTCTCGGTCACTTAATGTTAGTATAATACTTGATAGAAGAGTTCATCCAAAACCGTTTAAATTGGATTATACATTAAGTCAAATCAAATGACAAATTGATAAAAAAAAAAAAAAAGGAACAAATTCGATTATAATTGAAGTTGGCTTTTGTAAGACGTAAAGTTTGTTACTACAACAGCAGGGCTTGCAGATCAACAATTTAAGTCAATGTCCAGTGGAGTAAAGATCAATGATGAGATGAGATGGTAAACTCGAAGCTGAGTGCGGGTGATGTCTAGCTTACATGAACAGAGTCATAAAATGCTAAGGGTATTTTGGTCAGGATAAATTGCCTCCGAGGAAATTTTGGATTTTCCATGAGGCAGTTGTTAATATTTGGTCTCCCAAGAAAAGGGGTTGAGACCTCAGACAAACCAAAAGAAGGAAAATCCGACACCCCTCTTCATTTCTCCTTCCTATTTCAGTTTCCATTGCCAAACAGCTTGGAGAAGTTGTCCAAGAAACAGAAGGGGTAAAATTTGGAAGAATTCAAAGACGAAGTTTAGATGTCACCATCTGTTTACCTTTGAAACAGAAGTACACATTCTCGACAATCAAACAACCCTCGGTATTTCCCAGTTAGAGACAACAAAATCCAATGTCAAACGAGAGAGGCTAGGATGTTAAGTATGATTACAAATACTGGCGAGAAATTCAAAAGTCAGTGGGATCGCCAGCACCTAAAATGTAGCAGACTTCACTCTTTTAGATATATATGTTGTTCTTTACATGGTTCCGTATCCTCTAAATAGTCAATCTGAACAAAAATTCGTTATCACCCTGTTTGGAAGCACTAAGCTCGTTTCACATATGTTTCTCGTACTTCATAAGTTATGACCCGAAACCTACTTATAAGCCATCTCGTTTAGAATATTTTCTGCTATACACTGCATACCAAAATTACAGCATCTAAACCGTGGACAACAATCAAGTTCACGAAACAGCATGTAGATCAGAAGACTAGGATGTCACGCTTGACAACATACGTGAAATAGTTGTTTTTATTAAGATACAGAAGTACTTGTGTTCATATTTTAAATATTGATATTACAAACACCAACACAGGCAAAAATAGGCATAACACTGTAGGAAGGGGGAAAAACTTTTCTGACTACCGGAACTAATTTATCCCGCAAGTACAACTGGACACTGCATATCCCAAATCAGTATTTCAGTACTGAGGCTATTTACTGCTAAAGTTGCATGTAAATGCATATCAAGAGAGGGCAATAAGGTCAATAAGTTGCGGAATGAGTGGATGGCTACTCAATAGAAAAATATGCCACACTGACTCAACTAAGACACAATCACATCAATATCAAAGTAGACATCAACAATGTAGAGTAAAATTCATGGCGAAAGCAGACTAGCTCGTAAAGATCAGAATAAAACAGGAGAAAATCCTTTTTCACGCAAGGATAAGTGTAATTAACACAGAGCGAACCCAGTAAAATGAAAGATTAGAATGAACAAATAAACTGGAGATTTACTGAATCATATATGTCTGCAGCAAAACCAGAGCGAAGAACACTAAAAAGAAGAAACTCATCATAGGATACAAAGAAATCGCCATACTAAGATCATTGTATGTAGCATGGAATGATGGATAGGATCAGATGGATGCTCAATATTATGTTCAGTGAGATTCCTTAGGTAAGATGGACAGCTCTTGGGAAGGGAAGGAAAAAAAGAAGTCATATCAACGGAAAGGATTCCACACTAATGCAAGCTCTCTGAATTCATATTAATTAGTTAAATAACTGTGTGCACATCACACAAAACAAAGCATTTGAAGGCAGATAACCCTCACGAGGCTACACCATCTGGTGCATCGAGCTGAAAGGTGTCCACAATCAATTCTTCAAGTGATGTATGGTGCAGAAACATGGAGGTGACGAAAGATAAGGATAAACTATCAACAACTGAATTTTAGCTATTATAATTTTACAGTTGTCAAATAAATTAATTGGTTCAAACATAGAACTCATACAAAGTAACATATTCAAGATAAGTTACTGCGTTATAGGAGCATTCAAATACCGAGAAGAAACAATTCGCATTTATTAAAGTCTCAATTAACAATTTTTATAATTGCAGGTTCTCTCTTTCAAAGTCCAGCTACAGTGGCAGCAAGATGAAAAACTATAAACATAAAGTAACTCAAGTAGCTTGGCTAAATAGAGATAAGGTTGTTGCATTTTAGTAAAAAAACGAGAAAGACAGAGAGCTCAGAACAGCACTTTCTAGTCTCAGATCAAGCAGGCGAGGCCAAAGCAATCGTTCCATTACCTCATTGCCCCCAAATGGTTTACAAGCTAGAATTACCTAACTCAGCAGGACAGCACTTTCTAATGTACTACCTAAAGACATTCACGTGAAGGAAGACAAGCATGAAGGTTACACTTAAATAGCAATGGCAAGAACTTCATTTCACTCCAAAAGGCACCAAAGTTGTGCACTGAAGGAGCATCACCAGATTTATCAAGTAGGAGAGGACCCCTAGAGGCAACTTGCCTCTGCACCCCAGGCGTGCCTTTTGGTACCTTAACTGCTTCAAACAAAATCACAAACACAGCATGTAGCACTTTGGTACTCAACTCATAGTTTGAGCTTAACTTCACATTCCTCTTAACAGTTTGAAAATTCGAATCAGCTGGAACTAAATTATAAAAGACATTGGCATATAGGGATGTATAATACAAAGAAGGAGAATGCATAGGTATCCATCAACCAAGCCGGTTAAACTAAACATATAGGTACCTGCCAAACAGTTCAAGTAAAATTTCTAACTCCCTAACAAACAGAATTTACATTCCACTTCATTGATATTTCATGTACGAACTAATGAAATGCACTATTAAATTTAAAAAATAACAAAAATCTGATAGATACCAATGCCCTTTACTAGTTTATTCTCGGAAAAGGCGTGGCAGTCCCACTACAGATGAAGACTCAGTCTAGGATTAGATATTATAATAATTGTTTTATGTTTTACGTCTATATATGTCTACATGTGACCATGTTATGTGTCTCATCTTACCCATTATAAGTGTCTTGTGTCAGTTACTACATGTTGTCATCAGTTTCATGTATCTAAGGCATGGTAGTTACTCAGTTATTTTGTCACAAGATAAACCCCATATTATGTATTCTGCCAAGGACATGAATGAAATACCATTCAGAAAACTGTAGAGATTCTCCTACTTCTACTTCTAGGATTAGATTTTGCTTCTAGAAGACTCCCACACCTTCTACCCCTTATTCCATCTCTCTCTCTCTATCAAGTTTCTACCAAAATCTCAATAAAAATTATAAACGATTTTCTTCAACTATTACTGAGCAATCACAGATTCAGCCGAGATTGTTAGTACTCTGAGATTTTGAATAACAATATTAAAGAGAGAAAATAAAACGAAGATATTAAGAAGATCACCCCCTATAAACCGCACATCATGCTTGCTCCTACAGTACAATTTTCGATAAAACATCAGTAAATACAAATGATTTGCTTGTTCACCGATCACCGCATTATGACAACATAAATTATTTTGTCACAGTAATGGTATGAAAGAGAACAAAGGGGTTACTGACTGAAGCTTGACGAAAACAACAATGTGGTGGAATTAAGCAGCACCCGGACTGGAATATAATTCAAGAGACCAACGCGCAAAAGCATTCCACATTGCAATAAAGGATCATATCATGACTAGAAACGAACTATTAAGTTTCAAAATAATTTCGATGTTAGACAGATTAGCAAATGTACAATTACTGAACATGTAAATAACAAAATGGGGGAAGAAACGTATACAACTGTGGGGATTAATTAATCTTCTTGTCCATTTTGGTCACAAGCTGGCGCATCTGAAACCTCCAAAACAAGAAATAAGCCAAGCCTAACCCAATCAAGATGAACATCCAAATATTATCGTCTTCATCCTCCTTCTTTGATCTCATTTCTTGTATACTAAAACTCTCCCTCCCTGAATTCTCCACTGCCCCCTCGTTCACATTTCCATATAACACATACACTCTATCCCTTTCCCCCACGGCAACCGACGTAGGAAACCTCTCCAAATCAAGATCAATCTTATCGTACACTACTCCCTCCGCCCAACTATCTTGGCTTTTCAAAAGCCATAGCTTATTCACGGGGGAGACAACAACAACGACGCCGTCACTCCGGATGGCTATGTCGTCCGCACCAGTCAAATCCTCGTTCAACAACACCAGCTTCACCCTCCCATCATCCTCACCTACCTTGAACATCTTGCCCGTACTGGATTGCACCACCAGCAGATACCCCTTGGAGACATAAGCAATCCCATTCAGCCCAACGGAACTATACGGTGTATCCCGGTCCACAGGATGAGCTGTGTACTGTGGCGCTCTCGAGAAGATCGAGGCCTCTCCTTTCTCGTTGACCTTCCAGATGTAGTTACCGGCGGAGTTGGTGACATAGGCATTACCCTTGTAATCCACCGCGACGTCGTTTGCAATTGGAGGGGTGGACTCATCGTCGTCGATGGCTGCGTTGAGAGTAGACAGGAAAAGACGTTGACGAGAACGGAGGTCGTAGGCGGCTAGGGCGTTGAAAGGTGGGAGAGGCTCCCGAGCATGGACGACAACTAGGAGGCGTTTCTTAAGGGAATCGACGGCGAGACCAGAAAAGGTAACATTTTCAGGGAATGAAGGGTCAGAGATAAAGGTTTCAACAACGCCGGCGTCAGAGACGGCTGAGATGACCCGTTGATTGAGTGATCCAACGAGAAAGTGCTGACCCAATCGGTCCCAAGCTAGGCCTTCCGGGTAGAGATTCAGCGACCTGAAATTGATGCTGTGGGGTGATCCAGCGATAACTGAACTAGGCCTTGAGATGAGAAAGGTGATGGAGAACACGAAGAAGAACAAGGCGTGCTCGGACGAAACCATTGACATTGTGATGGCTCCTTCCAGGAAAAATTGAGGGCAAGAAGGGAACCATAATTAGTATGGTACTCACCCCTCCAAGTGTTCTAAGAGAATTTGGCAAGTAATTTTGTATTTTGTAATCACCTAAAATATCTATTGGGGGCCCACATATATCACTGTTTTCATCGTTATAATAAAATTTACATTATTCAAAATATACCGGTTTAGATTTAAAATTATTAATCTATAATTTTTAATAATAAATTTACTTCTTAAGAGGTGTAAATTATAATGGGACAATACCTAAGTTAAAGTTAAGTTCTTCCCATCAATTATGTCAAATTCTCCTATTAGATATATTCATGTACTCTATTTTTGAAATATTAACATTTAGTATTATTTAATTATAAGCTTATACATAAAAAAATAAAATACATGACCATATATACTTAAAAAAATTTGACACGAATATAAGTAACTTGACTTAGGTATTTTTTTATTATAATGTTATCCTTTTCTTAATTTTATATCTATTAAAATAACAAAACAGTTAAGATATAAAACTATTTAAATTGAATACGAACTATTTAATCAATCTGAATGTTACAAATTAAAATCACCATCCCAGGCTTATCTTTTTATGGCTATGGAATGTGCTAATGCTTATGCATGCTTTTTTTTAAAAAGCATATGAACATCAGTTTACTTGTCTTTTATTTGACGTTTTTGAATAATTTTGTTGAAAAAGTACTATTTTTTTCTTTAATAATAAGATCTTATTTTATAATTTATAAATAAAATTTTATAATTAGAATAGGAGAGTATGTACTAAAATAATCAAATTCTGATAACTTTTATTTTTAAATTAAGTACCTGACAATTCAATTGAACTTGCAATCTCCTCCTAATGAATTGAATTCTAATATATTTTGACATATTATTGTATATTAAGCTTTGTTTTATCTTTAAAAAAGGAAGATAAATTCTGTTGAACCTAATGTCGACACGTAATCCCCCAAATTTGGCGGTAGAGAGCAACGAACAGTTTCTCTTCGAACCTCACCCACACTTCGTTCTCTTCCCTTGCTCAACGAAGCAAACGTCTTCTGGGAAGAAGCCACTACCAACTAATGCTACTCAGGGCATCATTGTCACCGCCTGGCGGAGCCGTTGTTTGCTCCGGCGAACAATTCGGCTTCTGCCATCGTCATCGTTTTATCTCTCTGACTGATCCGGCTCGCGGTCATCTCAACAAAAGTAGGTCACGACCCACTAGCACCAGCATCTTCATTCAGCTTGAATCCAATGGCAGAATTTTCGAGAGGGGCCATAGCTCAAAGTTTGTGTTCACACCCAGGGCTGCTGATTCTACCCAATCTGCCTCCGTTGATGTTGGTAACAAGACCATTGTTCCGGATGAGGGATTCTCACTTTCTAAGGTCTGTTTGTTTTGCTTGTGGTTGGTAGTTAGTATTGGGACCCAATTTAGTTATGTGAAAGGATTGTAGGGTCTATTATTTAAAATCTATCAAACATAGGAAGGTTTTGTGAGAGAATGCGTGGCGACACTGCGAAGATTCCTTTTTCTTTGGAAAAGAAAAGTCTTTTTTTGATGTATTACCGGAGAAAGCGTTGGTATGATGTCAAGACTTCGGCGAATATGACACTATTCTACAATCAGAACTCTTTAGCATCCCGTACGATATGAGTTTAAAACGTTAGTAGGTCGATCTTTACTTATTTTTACCATAATCTTCAAGTTCAGTTTTACTCCGCGAAGAAAGAAACTTGATAGTGCTGGTTTTTAACATTCCCATAGTGAGAATGAATTTACTTTTGTTGGACCAACGAATTGCCACAAATTCAAATTATTTTGCTTCAAACTTTCAAGTCATAAACAAAATACCATAGTGAATGCATTGATTGTCTCTATTATTGTCCTGCTTTCTGATGGAACTCGGCACTGCAAGTGTTAGTTCGTGTTAACTGACTTGCTGATTCGGATGGTTTTTTTTGTTTCCTGTTCCCCTCCCTATGAAATTTAATGACTAGTTTAGTATCATTTATTTATCGGACAGACTTTCAAAGGAATTTCGTTTATTGCAGATTTCATTTGGCGTTGTTGGTCTAGGTGTTGGGGTCTCACTTTTGGGGTGAGTTTTTCCCCTAAATTAAAGCCTAATAGCCATATAAAGTGCTTCTTTTTATAACGATGGCTTTTTTGTTTGAAATATACAGGTATGGTTTTGGGGCATATTTTAATATCCTTCCCGGATCAGAATGGTCTGCTATAATGTTAACGTATGGGTTCCCTCTTGCGATTATTGGAATGGCACTCAAGGTGAAAGAAGTGTTCATTAATTCAAAAGTAGTTATAGTATGGACTATGGAAATTTTGGCTAATCAATGTTGTTGATGTTATTGTAATTGAGTATTTCATGCCTATAATTTTCTTACTGTTAAGAAAAGGGGGAAAAGTAAGGCCTTGCCAGCCGAAATTCTGTGCAAGGGATGGTCTTCAGGACATGCATCATTATCAAAATTTGACTTTTGGGCTCTAGGGGATGCTCATGCAGTTCACGAGCTTAGTTTGTTTATATTTTGACAATTGGGCCATCTTTTTTTGCAGTATGCTGAACTGAGACCAGTTCCATGCCTGACCTATTCAGATGCTCAGAATTTAAGGGAAACATGCGCCACCCCAATTCTTAAACAGGTAATTTTATTTCGATTATGAATCACGGTGTCCTTTTAAGTGTTTTTCTGATGAGTTTTTCTTTTCCAGTTCTAGAATTTTAAAATATGTCTCATGTTTTCATATGTCTCTAGTTGAGTGTTGTCTTCTCTGTTCTGTAAGTACATCAGCACTGTTCTATTTATTGATTTGGCCAATATAGTTGCTAACTTGGCACATTCATGCTATGTAGTGTGTTCATAAAGTTTGCCCCTTTTCCTTCAGGCTGGAGTTTTTACAGAAAATTTAATCATAGCTTTAAGAGTTAAACATGCATTGAATAAAATGTGATTGATAAAAGAGGCAACCTTTCATCGCCAAACCAACTTGATATGTTCACAATATATTTTACTGCAGATAGTTAATGCTCATGCACCTGTTAACATGATTAATTTTCTTATGTAGGTAAAGTGAAATGTACATATTCTCTTTTTGCTTTCCTTAACTAATATCTGTTTAGAAGATTCTATTTTTCTCAAAGGTAGGAAAATGCGAACATTCATTTGTGGCAGAATATTTCTTATTTTCTTTGTTCTTGCTGCATGATTAATTCATATCTGCAGAATGATGTCTTCTTAGTGGCTGAGCGATTAATATTTTCCATCAAAACTATAATTGTTTATGCTAGATGAGAAATGACAGCCAACAGAATTATGAAAGATGCATATCAATTATCAAAGTTACTGCTTTAAGATTTGTTTCTCCTGTGATTACCCTCTCTGTGATGACTTCAACTTGAATTTGTTCTTTCTGGGAATATCTTACAACAAAGTGCAGAAAGTACAGCAATAGATACTTCGTATTTCTCTCTGCTGAACACTGATCTCTCAAAAGTAATTACATTATTACTTAATGATATAATCATAATTGGATCTTCTCAAAGTGCTTCTTGGCGCTTCTAGATATACTATAAGAAAATAAAATCACGTAATGATTTTATATATCATGTATACATCTTTAGATTGAAATGTTTCATTCACTTCTATATCCTCATTGTGCATTCGATCATATCCCAATAAATATGGTTACAAAAAATTTACTGTGTAAAATGTTCATGGCCTTGTAGGTCAAGAATGATGTCACTCGATTTCGGTATGGGGATGAGCAGCATTTGGATGAGGCTTTGAAACGGATATTCCAATATGGGCTAGTATGTTATTTGACTTTACCGCATTTCTTTTAGAAGCATAATAGCCTTGTATATTATTATTATTATTTTCTTATCTCATATTTCAAGGGTAAAATCAACTTCTGTTTCTTTGTTTTACAACATGCACAAAAGCAAGTACAGTTTATTATCGAAGGGCTTTTAATGTGAGGTGAGATGAGTTGTTGGTGCACATTTTGACAACACGTACAGAAACTGATAGTTGTGGATAGCTTCTTCAGTGAGGGAGCATTTTCCTCTTCCAATGATGTTTTAAGTGCATGAGGGGCTTCTTTGTAAGGTCTGCATTACCAAATTGGACAATATTTTCAAGAACAAAATTGTAATAAAAGCTTGATTTGTTGGAGGAAGCCTGTGAATTTTCCCTCTTCCCCTCTCATGAAACCCCTTAGGGTAGAGCTTGAATTGTGACAAAACTTAGACCTGCCATTCCTGGTTTAAAAGTTTGATTTAATTTATTAGAAAGAATTCATGGGGCACAGTGTTTCTTCATGAAGGCTACAGGAAAACCTTCATCCAAAAGTTTAAGCATTTAGACCCTTCATCCAAAGTTTAAGCATTTAGTGGAAGGCCCTTGAATGGTTTTATATTTATCATCTGAAATGGTTGAATCCTAGTGAAAATCTGGAATCCTTTAAAGTACTAACAGATGCTGCACAGAGCATATGGTTGGAGGAAATTTTGAATATTGAGCAACATGATGACACCTGTTCACATTGATGGATTACAAACAAATGAATTGCATAATGGAACTGATCTCTTTATAGGGAAGAATGAACTCGGCACTCAAGACAGAATAGCAAATTGGGGGTGCAATGGTTACATTTTTGGCAGTTGGCATATGCAGTTATCTCTTTTCTGATAACAGACATGATTATAAGGATGTAGTTCCACTCAGTTTTCATTATGGTAGAGTGTCAAGTTGCCAAATGTGTGATGTTTTTTGAGTCGTAGGTTACTTCTTTGCGGTTCATTAAGCTATTTTTTTTTTTTGGCATACCTACAGGACACCAGCTTTTATAGAAGGATCAAGGCAGAGTATCGGACAGCAAAATCCATAAGTATAGAAACTAAATAACTAACGTGATAGATAAATTTGAAATAGAATTCGAATATATCTAATTCTTTCCCTGACCATGGGGATAAAGATATAAGGAGTTGAGAAATATAAAAACATGGAAAAAGCTTAAGCTGCTTCCACATCCCCTCAAGCTGGTTGGGAAATGTTTTTCATGGACGACTCTCTTGTTAAGATATTCAGGATCTTCTTGGTCAGTCCTTTAGTTAGCATGTCTGCCAACTGGTCATTTCTGGGGACACAGGGAATGCAAATATGTCCTCTTTCTTTTTGTTCTTAACTAAATTACTTTTATAGTTCTAAATGTATGGTTTGACATGACTCTGTGAAGGACTGGATTAGTGGCAATCGAGATAATTGATTTCCTGTCACAATAGATTTTCGAAGTTGTGGGGCTGTGGATGCTTAGTTCCTTAGCTACCCTTTCAATCCACAATGCCCCACAAACTCATGGGCTTATAATTTAAATTTGACATTTCGCTTCTTACTCCTTATTAGTAGATTTCCACAGACAGAAGTGCAATTATTAGAAGTGTAGCTTCAGTCACTTGTATTTCCATCGATATATGCACCAACATAGGCTTCTGCCTGCGATACCCCTTGCTTTTCTAAAGCATTCCTCTCCCTAGTGACCCTTTAGGGTACTTCAGGATCCAATATACTGCCTCAAAAAATTCTGTTATGTGCGACTGCATAAAACAAGTCACCGCATTAAATACAAAAGCTATGTCTGGACATCTATAGGCAGATGAGCCTCTCAACTATCTTTTGATATTTCTTTTGATCAGTATGTCTTTTCCTTGTTTGATTGGAGCTTTATGTTGGCAATCAACTATGTGCTTTCATTGGTTAATGGAAATGTCTACTTTTGATCCAGCATAATCAATTTCCAGGATGGATTTCAATGGGCCAAGATCTTTAATTTCAAATATAATAGATGATTTTTCTTCTAGTTAACGGTTCTGCATCATCACCACCTATCTAGATAACGTCATCCACAAAGACAATTGCAACAGGAATTTCACCATCTGAATGATTAAAAGACAGGGTGGAGAGCCTAATTCTATTTATATGCCTTAATTGTTACCTGATGGGGTTGACAATCGTAAAAGCTATGGTGTGAAGTTCATTTTCTTTTTTGTCTGAATAATCAATATTTGTGAACTGAATTGTGATACTTACATGATTTATCTAACATGAAAGTGTTAGTATATATTTTTAATCTTGGCTCATGAAATTAATTTATCTGCTTTAAAATTCCCAGGGAGGAGGAATACCAAGGAGGAGTGCACCTGTTCTAAAAATGATTCGTGAAGAAGTATGATTTTCCTGTTTTGGTTAATTTACTTATCTTTTCTATATCTGATGTTTCTTTGATGCTTTTTTAATATTGATCTGATTCTATAGGCAACGTTAAAGGAAAATATTGGCAGTTCTTCATTTTCTAGAAAAGATGATAATAGTTTGCGGGAAATTATTGTACTAGTTCATGTGTTTCCCTTTCTTACAATAAGATCATGTTTTTTGGAAAAACACTTTCCCCTCATCCTTTTACTATCTATATATAATTTTAAGTAGTTATTTGTTATGACAGCTTTTTAATTTCTTTGATTCTGTTTTCAACTATTATGTGTGTGACATTTTAGTCAGTCTTGATGTGATATCATTTTTTTCCCCTTTTAATTCTAATCTTTATTGTAAGCCTACGCATTACAGTTTTCCTTTTAATCGATGTGGACAATTGGCACGCTATAATATTCAGCATTTATTCTTTGGCTTATGTTTAGATCCCTTGTATATTGTCGTCTCAATTATGTGGGACTGACCTTATAGCCATTTTGGTACTCAAGCTCATGTCAACTTCATTTATGGAAAAAGATGTTTGATCTACGTATGCAAGGTCCCAAAATTTGCGTGATTGCTTGCTAGGTTTCCTCATGCCATAATCTGTGTTTAACTGAGATGCTATCCTGAGAATGATTTGATAGAGAATCTCTTACTTGATTAAACTCTATGGTCATTGCTTAATTGATTCTGCCTCATGATTAGGTCACACCACTTGGTAAATACTGTTTGGTCCTGGTTTTTGAGGCTAAGGCTCTGCAGTTATCAGATTTTGAACGGAGACAGGTAAGCAACTTTCCTATACTGTAGTGTTTACTATTAAAATGCTCACGAAATGAAAGAGGCCAACGAAATATTCTATATTCATGTCTTACAAATACCCCAAAAACAGTTCTTTCTCTCATAAAAGGTTCCAGTTGTTTGCTCAAAAGGGGGGGGGGGGGATTCCAGTTGCAAATATCATTGGATGACCACGTATGCATTTGACTTCAATGGAATGAGGAAATGCCCTCGTATTTATACCTAAAAACCAATTCAATATGCAAAAACTAACACAGTATTTGAGGGGACCTCCTTTTAGTGAAAAGTTTAGAGATCTTGATACAAAGTTGAAAGTTGCCAAACTATATGTACTAGGGCATGATATTTGGCCCTGAACTGTAAACCAAAAAGGGGGAACCCAATTGTCTTGATCAGTTTAGCTTCGGCAGTTGGTCAACCTTGACAATTTCAGTCGAAAGATTCTTGGATGATCCAAATCGATCCATGATCTATTTTCCGGATGCATGTTCATCCATTTGTAGATCATTTATTTGGACCGATATCTAATCCATCCAATCTGCAAATTACTTAAATGTTACACTAAAACTTTTTTTTGGCCGAAATGTTAAAATGTATAGTTTAATAATAATTTATTCTGTAAAGTTATGGTTGATGTATTTTAAAGCAGCAACTTTAATATTCTGCTCAAAATTTAGAATGGTAAAAAAAAAAAAAACAAACAAACAAAAGAAGAAGAAAGGATTGCATGTGCTTATATACATGTGCATGTGTGCATACCTACACACATGTATATATGAGTAGGCGACGTGCATGTGTAGGTAGCATTTATATGCGCGTGGTATATACACATTCTTGGATTTGAAAGGGCAGGTCGAATAGATCAAAAGTGAATTTGTCCATTGGAAATTCATGATATATTGGGTTGGTTCCGATGTATTTTTATCTATAACTTTAATCTTAATATGCGGATTGAACAGACTTGTAGATGACGTCTCAGTCACTTTATTTATTTATTTTTTTTAAGACAACATATTTTGAAAGCTTTTACCATTTGTGTCGATTGCTTTTGCTGTTCCACAATATTCCATTTAATTGAAGTATGAGATCCTCAGGCGTGTTAATATCTCGGTATAAATGTCAACTTCTTCAATTATGTGTGTAGGCAAAATTTGCGTCATTCTTTGGCCCCGGAATTACAGCGGAAGTCGGTAAGTCTTTATAATTGTAGGTTTCTGGTTCTCAGCAAACAAGTATGGATTAAAAGGAGCTTTTCACTTCCTCTCCTCTTCCCCTTCTCATTATTGGATCAAAATTTCAATCGTTAAGATTTAATATTTTATAAAACTTTTATCATTATATTACATATTAAAAAAAACTAAATTGTTAAAAGTCGATCGAGATAGTTCACAATTGTAGCTTGCTATTAAATATTTTATAAAATAAATTTTTCCTGCATCTTTTCATTACAGCTCTAAACTGTACTGGCTAAATTTTAACGGTTTAAACTTATTTATTTATTTTTATTGTGTAATATTATAATAGTTTTATAAAATATCAGATCTTAACTATTGAAATTTTAACCTAAGGATGAGAAGATGAGAGGAAGGGAAGAAGAAATAATCCTCTCATATGAATTAAAAGCCACAAATTTTAAATAATGGATGCATTCTGATGTATTAATCTGGGTGCAGCGAAGGAGAACGATCTATACGAGGTTCGGCTTATATCTGATGCAGATGCCAATGTATCTCCTTCTTCAAGTGCATGACAACTTAGTCTCCACTGTCATCATGCTGTTTTATTGAATCACATGAGTTGGGTCCCTTGAATTTCATGGAATAGTAGATTGTAAAGGCAACAAATTGTAAATTTTGAAATTCACTGAAAGGAAAAGGAGAAGCAGTTGGAAAGAAAAGGCCAATACTTGTGGGGAGCACATTATTTTACTCTTGATGTACAGGAAGAAATTAGTTTCATATCTGCTGAAATTTTCTAGCCGCTGGTTATTTGTGTTTGATAGAGACTTGGGGTTGCTCTATTGGTTTTGAGATGCTTCTACCAAGAAGCTCATATGAATTGCAGGGCATTGGCAGGTCATTGACATATAATACTGCTCTTATTAGAGGTAAAACATATGGAGACAAGTGAAAAGAGTGACAGGTTAAAGAAAATGGTTTATTTGACTTCACATCTCTCTAATTAGGAATCCACAAGAGCTTTTTTCCCCCCGGATCATTGCACTAATATTTTGAGAACGACTTTTTTGGAGGCAAGTGGAATGTCTGCTCATTACTCCCTCCGTCTCTTATTATAAGAAACAACAATCAAAATGACTTCAAAATGCTAGTCAAATTTAACTAAAAACAATAAATAAATGTGCAAGATATATACTTATTTTTACAATTATAATGAGTCAAGAGGCAATGAGAATATATAAGAGGTAATGAGTGAAAATGTATTGCAATAAGTAACATATATTTAATAGGGTAAAAGCAAGAATACTAATTTAAAATTTCAAATATCACTAGTTTGCTATGAGAGAGATTATTCTTTTAAAAAGGGACAGAGGGAGTAACAATATAGAGCTGCTGGTATCGGCTCCCTAGTGTTTTTAATCTTAATTGGAGGAACTTACTGAACAAGTAACAGAACTTACCGATGGAGTTCATCAAAGAAGAAAGAGAAATAAGTATATTGGAGAGATTAAGGAAAAGGTAAATATTACTCCCTCGGTCCTAAATGTAGGAATTTTTTTTTTTTGTAATATAATTTATACTACAAAATGGTCTTAAATTATACTACAAAAGGGGTATAAAAGTGGTCTTATATTTAGAACCAAAAGAGTATTAATCATCAAAAGATTGTTAGAGGCGTAAGTCTGTAGTTTTTGGCTCTACTAACTAAAGCAAATATACCATGTTTGATCCAAATGATAACACTCTAACTCCTGACACTTGAACAATTTTACATTCTAACTCTTTCCCGCGAACTTAGGGTGCCCCTAATAATTGTGTGGAATGCAGCTTCCTTGAAAAAGTTCTGCTGAAAATTGGATTTCACAATTGTGTTGAGCTTGTTATGCAGTGTTTTTACTGAAGCCAATACTTAGGAAAGAACTCTTTGTACAGGTTCCTTAGTTTAAAAATAAATAATAATTGTTAGTGTCAATTATGAGAATGAGTGGCACAAGCCAATTTTCACCACACAATGGACAAATCATAAGATCATGATCACTTTATCCTTTTAATACCCTTCTTATTATTTTATCTTCCGTTTCTTCCAAGAAGCACAAGCTCAACCAGCAACATTGCTGAAAATGTATGCCTTTCTTTATCATGTTACAGACTCTTTTCCTTGACATCTAGCGATGAAGATGCTGATCTTTATATGCCTTCCCTTCTCTTTATCTTTAAGCCTTTTCTTCTTCTTGATCCATGGAAAGCACCCACTTTGCCTGTAAAGTTGATCCACTTGCGTCCCCAACGCATGATTCTTTTCCATTTCTTTGTCTTTATCCTTCTCTTCTACCTGTATATCCATTTGTTCTCTCACATCAATGTCACATCATGGCAGACAGATCTCTATGAGAGAAAAGGACGTGGACCTCAAATAAGATGAACTTAAGTGGATTCTGCTTAAGTCAATCATGAATAGATA